ACTGACCTACAAGATCAAAAGTAGCATTCAGCTCATTTGAAGGCAGTTTCCTCTGAGATATGTTAAAAAAAAAAAAAAAAGTTGAACACTGTCCTTTTCATTGCAGTGGAAATTATCTCATTTTTCAAAAACACATTCCTGTGTAACCTGACTCCTGTTAATTAGGATGCAGGCTCGGTATATTGGTCTGTATTGGGCTTATGCAGTCCCATCCATAGCAGGTGACTGCCACAGAACCAAATGCTAGAAGCAGATTCCTTGTAAGGCCAGGATTTGATTAATTCAAATACTTACTACAGATCTACTGTGGGCTAAATACTATGATAGACATTGCAGTTATAAAATTGAACACAACCAAGTCCTTATTCTTAAAAAGAGTAAGCACTGTGTCAGTTTGCTGAGAATGATGGTTTCCAGTTTCATCCATGTCCCTACAAAGGACACAAACTCATCGTTTTTGATGGCTGCATAGTATTCCACAATGTATATGTGCCACATTTTCCCTGTCCAGTCTATTACCGATGGGCATTTGGGTTGGTTCCAGGTCTTTGCTATTGTAAACAGTGCTGCAATGAACATTCGTGTGCATGTGTCCTTATAGTAGAATGATTTGTAATCCTTTGGATATATACCCAGTAATGGAATTGCTGGGTGAAATGGAATTTCTATTTCTATGTCCTTGAGGAATCACCACACTGTCTACCACAATGGTTGAACTAACTTGCACTCTCACCAACAGTGTAAAAGTGTTCCTATTTCTCCACATCCTCTCCAGCATCTATTCTCTACAGATTTTTTAATGATCGCCATTCTAACTGGCGTGAGATGGTATCTCAATGTAGTTTTGATTTGCATTAATCATTCTCAGCAAACTGACACAAGAACAGATAATCAAACATTGCATGTTCTCACTCATAGGTGGGTGTTGAACAATGAGAACATATGGACACACGGAGGGGAGCATCACACACTGAGGTCTGTTGGGGGGAAATAGGGGAGGGACAGCGAGGGGCGGGGAGTTGGGGAGAGATAGCATGGGGAGAAATGCCAGATATAGGTGATGGGGGGGAAGGCAGCAAAACACACTGCCATGTGTGTACCTATGCAACAATCTTGCATGTTCTTTGTATGTACCCCAAAACCTAAAATGCAATTTAAAAATTAAATTAAATTTTTAAAAAAAGAGTAAGCACTGGCCGGGTGCAGTGGCTTATGCCTGTAATCACGGCACTTTGGGAGACCAAGGCGGGTGGATCACTTGAGGTCAGGAGTTTGAGAACAGCTTGGCCAACATGGTGAAACCCTGTCTCTACTAAAAATACAAAAAATTAGCCAGGCATAGTGGTAGGTGCCTGTAGTCCCAGCTACTCGGCAGACTGAGGCCTGAGAATTGCTTGAACTCAGAGGGCAGAGATTGCAGTGAGCAGAGATCATGCCACTGTACTCTAGCCTGGGCAAGAGAGCAAGACTCTGTTTAAACAAACAAACAAAAAAAAGAGTAAGTGCTATTCTATCAGGAAAAAACTGATGAAAACTGCTGATGTGCTAACTGCTAGATAGAGTAAGTACTACATATGCCATACGTAGTAAATGCTCTAAAGGGCAGCCTGAAGCAGAGTAATGGGACAGATAAGAGAGTCATAAAGGTCACTGAGGTAAACCAAGCTGAGGGGTGATGATTTCAGAAATGGCTGGTAAGCAAGGGAGCCAGAAAAGCAAAAGGCTCTCCTTAATTTCATATTACTATCAAATCAATTCTACAAATGAAATGACAAATAATATCTTAGATAATAAGCAAATGGGAGTCAAAGGAAAAAGGAAAGAGGTGTCTATTAGATAGCTTACTAGTAACTGCCACTGCAGCAGTGATGCCCCTCACCGTGAAGATCCTTCTATCAACTCCCCTCGGAAGCTGTTTCTGGTAGATTTAAATTATCCTTTAACTCCCCATTTCTATTCTATTATGGCCACATGTATTTGTATCTGCTACTGATCATGCCTTCCTCCTGCCAGCTGATTTTCTAATTTTTCAGTTTCTAGAGATTATAAACAGAAAAAATCTTATAAAAATAACTTGATGTCATGTGATGTATTGACACATTAAAAGAATCTTGTCATTGCCTAACAAAGATCATATTTCTACTCTTCAATATTTCTCTAATAGAAAACAAAATTCATACGTAATGTTTGAATGTCTTACTGTGGTTTATTTACACTTTATAAAGTTTTAGTAATGTAAAATTATTCCGATTTTTTTTTGAAAATAGAATAAGTTGTGCTACAAATAAGAAAGCCATCTAACAAATTCTGATCCAAAATGTGGTTTACCACAAAATTTCAGGAAGGAAAAACAATTAAAAGACTCGTGAAAAAGAAGAAAAAGAAACGCTGGGAAAACATATGAAGAGTCAAAGTCTCTCCTAGAAAACAATTATTCAAGTAAATATAATCATTCTAGTAACTGCTGAATGACCACTAAGTGACCACATGGATCATTATCTGATACTTAAATAGCTAGTAAGAAAATAAGAAAGCTGTCTTTCAAGACAGAAAAATTAGACAATATTTTCACAGTGAAAGGCAAAAGGTTTTAGAATTCCTTACAATGGTTCACTTAAGAAATTAATTCAATGGTTCTGAATTACTTAAGTAATTATAGGTTGGTTTTATCTGTGAAAGCCAGATACAATATTAAGTATTAGCACATAACCAATAATTACATAGAGCTCTATACCAAAGGAAGATGCCTTTCTTGGTGGAAAAATGCGAAAGGTAAAAAAAAAAAAAAAAAAAAAAAATTACATAGCATTGAAAGGGAGCCCACTATTTTTTCTTTTCATTTAAATCAATAGTCAAGAAGCAAAACGTTAGGAGTTACAGAATAAAACAAGTGAGCCATCATAATAAAGCAGACACAAGAATCTTTCAAATATAAGAGAAAAAACTAGCTACTCTTAAGAAGTTTAGAACACTGTTAGTTAAAAGGCCAATATTCACAGGAAATCAAGGGCCAATAAGTTAACAGTTACTGCGATAGCCCCAAATACTTGGAAACCCCTCCCTTTGAATGATGGGCCAGACTTAGTGCTTCACTTCTAGTGAAAAGAATAGTTGGGTGTGATACTGTGTCACTTCCACAACCAGCTCATAAAGGGGATCCAGTTCTGCCTGGCATGCATGCTCCTCTGAGGATACTTGCCCTTAGAACCCAGCCACCACATTGTGAGGAGGTCCAGGCCACACAGAGAAGCCACGTGTGGGTGTTCCAGTCAACATCTTCTCCCAGACACCCCCCACCCACGCTGATGCCAACATATGATACCAGTCATATGAAGAATAAGCCTGAAGATAATTCTAAAACCTGGCCTTTGAATCATCTGGCTTAAGACCCATATACTGTGGGGCAGAGACAAGCCATCCTTGCCCTGTACTCTGAATTCCTGACTCATAGGAACTGTCTGAAATAATGTAAGATTCTGATTTTAAGCCACTAAGCTTTGGGGTAATTTGTTTTGTAGCAATAGATAAATGAACACATTTACCTACAACACACATATATCAAATACAGAAGGATGTTTTTCAAACTGAAAAATCACCTTTATACAAACCAATTATAGATTATAGCCTCCATTTAATAATTTTAGAAGGCTTTCTATACTAACACAATTAAACTTCATTTATTTGAACTTTTCTAATTTGAAGTATAAGACAATTTATATTCTAAATTTTAGAGTGCTTTGGTTGAATATAATCATTAAAGTAGCTCTGGAAGGAGAGTTTAGGTAATCTACACACAAAGACAAGAATACTGAAGCTAATTAAGGGAATAAATTGGCTTTGAAGTACTTTAAAATTATAGCACCGTTATGGTTTGAATGTCCCCTCCAAAACTCAGGTTGAAATTTAGTCGCCACTGTAATGGCATAGAAAGCTGGGTCCTGTAAGGGGTGATCTCCTTTAAGAGCAAAGCCCTCATGAATAGATTAATGCCTTTATCTCAGGTGTGGATTAGTTAAGTCAGGCGTGGGCTCCTGATAAAAGGATAATCATTCTGCTCTCTTGTTCTCACTCGCATTCTTTTGCCCTTCCACCATGTAAGGATGCAGCAAGAAGGCCCTCACCAGATGCCAAGCAGATGCTGGTGCCATGCTCTTGGACCTCTCAGCCTCCAGAACCATGACCCAAATAAATCTCTTTTCTTTATAAATTACCCAGTCTGTGGTATTCTATTCTAGCAACAGAAAATTAAGACAAGCATACTCTGCATAGAAAGCATTCAATAGTTATGGCCAAGCACAGTGGCTCACACCTGTAATCCCAGCATTTGGGGAGGCTGAGTTGGGGGGATCACTTGAACTCAAAAGTTTAAGACCAGCGTGAGAAACATGGCAAAACCCCATCCCTACAAAAAATACAAAAATCAGCCAGGTATGATGGCTTGTGCCAGTAGTCCCAGCTACTCAGGAGGCTGAGGCACAAGAATTGCTTGAACCTGGAAGGCAGAAGTTGCAGTGATCTGAGATGGCACTACTGCACTCCAGTCTGGGTGACACAGCGAGACCCTGTCTCAAAAAAAACAAAAACACATTCAGTAGTTGTTAAGCATCAAATGAAAATCAGATACTTCAAGTTCTTCCTAATCACTTTTTACATATAAATCAGTTTAAAATCTTACTTTCCAGAACTAGTCAGTTTAGTTCAAGCAAATTATTTGCACATACATACATATTTTACCTTTTCCTAATAAAATGTGAATTCCCTGATGACATTCCTTGTTTTGTTCATCTCTGTGTCCCTAATGGGCCTAACACAATACTGTATGTCAAGCATTGTACTAGACAAGTATTTATATAAATGACCAAGCTGCAATAATACACATGAAGCTAACTCAATTGTCCTGTAATTCACTTTTTTTCTACTAATTTGTTCTGCTCTTCCTCACAATTAGTCCAAGTTAAAGTTTTATTACATTTCCAAAGACCATTCTGTGTACCCCTTTGTTAACTTTTATGAATTTATTTATAGTAAAGATAAGGACACAAATGTCTTCCACACATACTTGGTAATCTGTGGTGCTCAGGCCACTCCCTCCCTCCTGGGACTGACACACACTGCAGCACAGGCTGCTCACTCTGGAGCCTCATCCTTGTGTGAGAGAATGGCGCCACCTGGGGCTGCGTGATATGTCAGCCCGCTCATTCCCTTCTCCAGCTCAGGACAGAGACACATAATTCATTCATAAGGTTTCCATTCTGTTACAGGCAGAGATTTATAAATCAGCACTGTTATTCAAAGAGTACAAAGTTAAGCCATTCTTCTCAGAATAGAAAAGAATAAACGCATCCAATAGTCTTTCCTCTAGTTTAGTCAAAACAGAGATCAAACATCTTTGACAGTGTTATAATGCCTATGTTCAGACTTAAAACTTCACAATCAAAATTTGGAAATATTTATTTATAAGGTTAATAACTATCTTTGAAGTTAAGCAGTTAACTGAGCAATTAAATATTTTTGTCCATATACAATCATATTTAACTACTGCTATAAATAAGATGGTCATAATTTCTCCAGTTTCAGTCTGAACATATAACTTATAGTAATAAGACACAGGTTCTAGTACAGATTTTCTAATTAGTGGTATAGCCCGTTAGATCTCTGCCTTCACCCACATCAAACAAGAATAATATCTTTTTCTTAACCTATCTTCTAGGTAAACAGATGAGATTATATGAAAACATTTTGCTAAAGTCACTAAACAAACATAAGGAAAAAAATGTCAGGTTTTTTTTTATCATATTAACTATTTTCTAATATTTGATTGACATTTTTGTAATATAATCAAAATAAAAATTGCATACTTTCAAGAACTACAAAATTCAGTAGTTATATGAGGTGAATTAAAATAGTAAAGCTAGTCATAATACAAAGTCCACTCATCCATGTTCTCATTTAATGATATTAAGAAATAATAATTATAAAAATAGGTAAAATTCCATGAAAATATTCCTATTTGTTCTAGTTCAGGAGGTCTTGCCAACATCAATGGATTGTCTGGCGTCAGCCACTGTTTCAGGCACTCGAACAGTCATATTGTCCATAGATTTTGTCAAGCAGATTTGGCAGCCCAACCGTGATCTGTATGGAAAAGGAGGATGGTATGGTTTAGTATTATTTATATATGATTCACAAGGCAATCCAGTTGTTTAAGATAGCCTTTATGTTTTCTTACCCAAAGCAGTTAGGAAACTTATCAACCTTTTAAATTTCCTTTATGTCAAAACAGATATAACCAACCCCACCAACTAAAGGATAACAAAAGGTAAATAAATATGAATACAATAAACCTGGTATGCCAAAGCTTCATTTTAGCCTTTAGTTCCTATTTTTACCAGACCACTACTTTTTGGTCAAAGAGCTGACAGGCAAGGAAACAATCAGAAGGCAAAATGGTGGAGAACTGAGGTTATTAGCAAGGCCAAGAAAATGATTAATCAATTCCTGGATAATTAAAACCACACAGACTATAAAAGAAAGCTATACTTTTTAAAGCCTTTAAAAGAAGAAATCTGGAATAAATGCATAGATTTAAGTCATCAATTATAAAAGCATATTTTTTCTCAAATTTTTACCATCTCTGAAAATCAAGAAGCATCTTAAAATCAATGGAATTGGCCGGGCCCAGTGGCTCACACCTGTAATCCCAGCACTTTGGGAGGCCGAGGCGGGTGGATCACGAGGTCAAGAGATCGAGACCATCCTGGTCAACAAGGAGAAACCCCGTCTCTACTAAAAATACAAAAAATTAGCTGGGCATGATGGCGCGCACCTGTAGTCCCAGCTACTCGGGAGGCTGAGGCAAGAGAATTGCCTGAACCCAGGAGGCGGAGGTTGCGGTGAGCTGAGATCACGCCATTGCACTCCAGCCTGGGTAACAAGAGCGAAACTCCGTCTCAAAAAAAAATCAATGGAATCTTATAATCACTGCTACACTGTCAGGTAATGGTCATGTCATAGCTACAAATTTGATGACAATATTCATACAGGGATCTCTTCAACTTAGTTATGGGAAGTACGTAAGTACCACATGTTGAATTTACCTACTTTAGAAAATAAGTCTAAAAAGATTACAAAATGAAAACGAAGAAGAATACAGAAAGAAAGTAGTGTATAAATTTGGAATTAATAAATATTTGTCATTGTAAGAATGACTATAATTTCCTCTTTTTTGCAGAATTACTACTAAATTTATTTTGTGTATATTTTCCTTTCTTTCTTTTTTTTTTAAGAGAGGGTTTGGGTCTGTCACCCAGGCTGGAGTGCAGTGGCATGATTTCAGCTCACTGCAACCTTCACCTCCCGAGCTCTGGTGATCACCCCACCTCAGCGTCCTGAATAGCTGTGACTACAGGTGTGCACCACCATGCTTGGAAACTTTTTGTGTTTTTTGTGGAGACAAGATTTCACCATGTTGCCCAAGCTGCTCTCAAACTCCTGGGCTCAAGTGATCTGCCTGCCTCGGCCTCCCAAAGTGTTGGGATTACAGGCATGAGCCACCACAGTCAGCCTGTTTTCTTTTCTCAGTAGTGATATATAATTCAAATCTATGTCTAGATAAGCCTAAATAACTCTTTCAATATGCAGAAAATACATTAAGTGATAACACTATGCCATATTTGAATTAGCAGTGCTTTTTTTCATCCTTAGTGGCATATAAAAAGAAATGTTAATCATACAATCAACATGTCTTCGATTTGATGAAATGTGATATTCAGGTCTTGGTTTTATTAATGTATTCTTCAAGCATTTATTGAGCACCTACAGGCACAATATTAAATGTCAGTGAAAAACAGCAACTCAACTCCATACTTTCTTAACGTCTTATTTTCTGGCCATTGGGATGCACTTAAAGAGACAGTATCAGAATTACAGCCAATGAGACCAGCAGTATGGAATCCAGCATTTAATACACCAACTTGCTTAACCTAACCAAACGCTGGTTTCCTAATCTAATCTTCAAGATGAGTAGGAGAACTCCTCACAGGACTGCTGTTAGAATTGGTCGCTAACGCCAACATTAATGAGTAAACTTTCAGTCAAAGGGAAGAGATGAGACACATTCAGGTAGTTAACATGCAAGACTGTGGCAAATGCCACCAAGGGAGAAAACCAAATGGCTCTAAGAGGTCTAAGGAAAAAGCACCTACTTCCTACTTCTGCCCACAGGAGGTGGTATCCACAATGGGCTCTGAAGGATAGGTAGGATTTACTATTTACTATTTTATAAAAGATAAAGAAGAAAAGTACGTGAGGCAAAGGCAACAGAATGCAGGGAAGCTCAAGTCACCTTTAAGGCAAGATGGGCGTTTTAGCTTGGTTGCTGCACAGCACAAACAAGGACAAGGGGAACGATGGGCCAGAAAGGCGACCAGAGCCACAGGCAGCTGTGAATATCAGTTAAGGGGCCTGTGTTTTTACTGGTGAGCTAGGAGGAACCACCAGGAAGTTTTGAAGTAAAGGAGTATGCTTAACCATGAGAAATACTGATTCCTAATAGAAAAATATTCCCTCTACCAAGAGTTCTGCATTTGCAGAATTGGAAACAGCCTTGACAACACTCAATTATGCATTAAGCTCTGTTTGCAAGAAAGAAAAAGTGGCAAGCCAATTTGGACAAATTCATTAGGACAGCAAGCCCTTGAGAGCCTGTTGATTACTCTTGGTATGTCTATACAGATAGCAAAATGATGCTGGTCTTCAAGGAACTGTTACTTTAGCAAGGGAAACAGAGATGGAAACAGTTATCAGTGAAACAGGGCAGAGTATCACAAGTGTGGTGATAGAAGAACAATAGGTCTATTATGGGAACACAGAGAAAGACAGCACTAAAAGCTCCAGCTCACTCTAGAAAATAAGGCAGTAGTGCGCTTCGTGGCTATTTTCTCACTCTCCTACTTCTTCTATCTCCTTAAAGGTCTCTGGCTCCAAGATCCACCAGTATAGACAGTGTCTCATACTTCTAGAGGAGGAGACAGACAACAAGGTTCCCCTGATTTCACACTTAAGTCCCACAACACTCTGACACTTCTGCAAACCTGGAAGTTATTTTCTCCAGTCTCTTCCTACATATCCCTGACGGTGAAAATGTACTGGGTATCGGGTTTACTTTAGTTCTGGGGTTTGGTTTTCAATTCAGAGAAGTAGCTTGACATACTAAAAGACCAAGGGCTTTGAATAGCTGGATTCAAATCAGGGGTGTTACACACTAGCTGTGCAGCCTTAAGCAAATCTGCAATAACTAAGCCGCATCTCCCCACCTACAATATGGTGATAGTACTGCTTAACCCTGAAAGTTAGAAATAATATTTAAGTGCCTAGGCATTACAGTAAGTTTCCAACAGATAGGTCAATATGATAGTAGCTATGATGCTAACAACTACCATTTAATGAATGCTTTCTCCACCAAGCACTATTCTGAGAGCTTCACATATATTTCCTCATTAGCTTCACACAGCAATAATATGAGGTAGGTACTATTATTATCCACATCTTGCATATGAGGAATCTGAGACCTTTGTGTAGATTATCCATGGATACTGGTGGCAGGGAGCAATGACAATCATCCAGTGTAAACTCACAGGTAATTCCTGAATCTCCCTTTCTATAAACTATTAATTCTGCAAACTGTTGGTGACCTCTATGGTGAATCTGGCATTGGAGATACAATGGTAAAACAAGACATGGCTGTTCTTCTACTGGGAAAAGGGAGACAGGCAACCAGTATGAAAAAAAAAAAAATAAGGCTATCATGTATCATTCATCTATCAACAATCAAGGTTAAGGACAACCAATAAAACATTGAAGCCACGCATGGTGGCTCATGCCTGTAATCCCAGCACTTTGGGAGGTCAAGGCAGGCAGATCACCTGAGGTGAGGAGTTCAAGACCAGCCTGCCCAACACGGTGAAACCCCATCTCTGCTAAAAACACAAAAATTAGCTGGTCGTGGTGGCAGGCACCTGTAATCCCAGCTACTCAGGAGGCCGAGGCAGGAGAATCACTTGAACCCAAGAGGCAGAGGTTGCAGTGAGCCAAGATCATGCCATTGTACTGCTGGGCGACAGAGCAAGACTGTCTCAAAATGAAAAAAAAAAAAAATTATTGGAATGATAATGTTTTTCCTTAAAAATTAAAAACATTTACATAGTATTTAACTTTATGAATTAAAAGGCTGAATTTCCTTATTCCTTTTCTGAAACTTTCTGATACCCTAAAAATAAGTTTACATGTGGTTATTAGCTTTGAACAAAATTCTTCCCATTCCAAATGTCAGTGTGTTTTGTAAATGCTCCTGTGAAACTAATTATACTTTTTCCCCCAAAGTATTTCTACTAAAATTCTGTGTATTTAAGAATACCAGCTATAAAACACTATAAAAGCTGTTCCTTGCTCTCCATTTTTTAGCACTAAAACTTGGAAATCTGCAATAACTAAGCCGCATCTCCCCACCTACAACATGGTGATAGTACTGCTTAACCCTGAAAGTTAGAAATAATATTTAAGTGCCTAGGTATTACAGTAAGTTCCCAACAGATAGCGCTAAAACTTGGAAATTTTATCATCAATATTCTTGCTAGCTTACATTTATTATAGACCTTTTGTATCTCTTCTAAATGTAGCGCTCCCTTTTCCCTTTCAATTAGAATATTATCTATTATATTACATCCATCTACAAATTGTATCTATAGAAAAGGGCAGGCAGTGAGCTATGATTTAGCTCTCTTATTAAGAGGCACAATTCTCAGAACCTAACTAATACAGTCGGTCACTGGATTTAGTCTCTGTGTTAAGGGAAAAAGAAAGGAGGTGCTCATAGAGAACGTGCAATGAAGATGTCAGAGGACAGGCAGACAGTAGCCACATGCCACTCTGCTTTGGTGTCTAAAGAAATACTATTTTATCAGTTTCTCTTCCCAGGGTTATCAGTCTCACATTCACCAAGAGGGAAATAAACCATAAAAGGAACAAAATGATCCTTCCTATCTAAATAAATTCAAATGACCTAAAAATGATTGTGAGGATTAAAATTCTAGCTATATAACATACCTGAAATAAAACTATTTTTAAAAAATTACTTGTCATTAAGGTTACCAAATTAAACAGTACCAACCTTAATTAAGTAATAAGCCCTCATTATCCTACCCCTTGAAGCAGTATATCAACTAGCTACCTTCCTTGACTCCAATCAAAAGACTAGATAATTTTTTTCAAAAAGAAGGTAGCACTTGATGTCACTTGCCACTGTAAATCTTGTCATTTCTAAGAGTAAATTAATAACAATAAGAAGCTCTGACTAATGTACACTTAGAAAAATAATTATTCATTTTAACATAATTACTATTATATATTGTTTCTTTAAAAATTCTGTTCTCTCAAATAGGTAAAACTTTCCACTATAATTTGTTCACTTATCAAATGTGTCCTTCAAGAATACTATAAAATCATTAAATTTAACCCCTCCCATTAAGTTGTGATAAATATTAGTTCCTGGAGTAAAAAGAGACCTAAAGATGATTTGTTAGGATCTAGAACTTATATTTCCAATACTTCCAATTAACTTTTTTTTTTACTTTTGTAAAATGTTTCATAAGGTCTAAACTGTGGAACAGGGAAAACAAAGAGAAATGCCACGTATCTGATACTCAAAATCTGTTATTTAACCTGGTAGAACACTGTTACATTCATGAGTCTGGTCTTACATAGAAAACATAATAAAATATCTATGTTCCCAGATTATTAGCACAATTGAAACAGTCCAAAAATCTTACCTGTCTGTTAGTCCATATGCCAGATCGAGCATGTCATTCTCCTCATCAGTGATTGCATCTAACTTCTCAAATATGTGATCTTCAAAGATGAGGTGACAAGTTGAACAAGCCAGGGTTCCCTCACACGCACCTGACAAAAACAACAAACACTGAACATACTCCCTTCTACATCAGACACGAATCAAACCTGGTTCAGTAAAGGTTTCTAAATGTTAGAATCAGCATTAGAATACGTGAATGAGGCCAGGCACAGTGGCTCACAACTATAATTCCAGCACTTTGGGAGGCCAAGGCGGACAGATCACTTGAGGTAAGGAGCCAAGACCAGCCTGGCCAATATAGTGAAACTCTGTCTGTACTAAAAATGCAAAAATTAGCCAGGCATGGTGGTGCACACTTGTAGTCCCAGCTACTAGGGAGGCTGAGGCAGAAAAATCACTTAAACTGGGGAGGCAGAGGCTACAGTGAGCTGAGGCTGCACTCCAGCCAGGGCAACACAGTAAGACTGTCTCAAAAAAAGGAAGTAAAATATATAAATGAAAGGCGAAAACGAAGAGACTAGGGGCAACAACCCCCCCACCACTGCACACGTGTGTGTGCGTGCACACACACACACACACATACATACACATACACACACACAAGTTTGAAATCCTTTGCATTATATTATTTCACAAAGGTTCTGGCTTGGTGCTGTGAAGGAATACCTATGAAAATACATAATCCTAATAACAGAGAGCTTATAAGTTAATAAGCTGAGACATGTATACATATAAAAATGTGTGCATTCTTAAACTTATATAGTAATTACTTACATAATAGTGATGTAAGTTATGGTATATAAGAGGAACTAGAAAGCAATCAAACCTATCACTAAATTAAGTTAAATGTTCTTCCCTCTCAATCTCTGCTAGTAATTTGGACAGAATCAAATCAGTCATTTTAAAATGAGTCACTGTGGTTTTAAATAATCAGAATATTTCTCCTGTTCTATTTCTTTAAGTCTTTAATTTAACAGTTGTTTACTGAGTACATATCATACATCAGACACTGTGACAAGAGAACTACAACATCACCTTGTCCATCTAAACCAGGACGAATCTGCTCTGCAACATCCGTTTCCTGGGGTTACTTAGCCTTCACTTGAAAATCTCCTGACAAAGAAATCAACACCACGTAAGTCAGCCAATTTTGCATTCAGCTGGCTTCCACCAAGCTCAAGTCTGCCACTCTGTAACTAGCACCTGCTGGTCCAACTCTATCCCATGGAGTTTAATCCTTCTAAAGGACAGCTTTTCATATATTTGAGATCATTCTTCCTTCTCCCAGCTGAGCATCTCCAGTTCCTTCCACTGTTTCTTACATAACATAGTTCTAACTCTCATCCCTCAGGCCAGTTGGGCTTTTCTTAAAATATAGCATCCAGAACACATTTGTATCCCAGGGGAGGGCCTGACAACAGAATCGTGCAGAATCACAGTCTGGTTAAATCTGACTTTAAAAACAGTGATTTGGGTTTGTTTCTACATAATTTTTTAAAGCCACTGTACAACTTCAAAGACTGTAGAGTCCTCAGAGTAACTTCAGTTTGATTTATATTCTCTTTCAGTCACTACACATTCTATGAAATATATAACACGACCACTATTAACAACTGGTAACCTTCTTAATTTTCCTCTGAATGGATCATTTTAACTAGAGTTGCTCCCTCCTTACAATTTAAGCATTTGTTATTCATATTTTGCTGTTTTTTAAAAAAAAGGAACAGGCCAGGCACATTGGCTCAAGCCTGTAATCCCAGCACTTCGGGAGGCCAAGGCAGGTGGATCACCTGAGGTCAGGAGTTCAAGACCAGGCTAGACAACATGGTGAAGCCCTGTCTCTACTAAAAATACAAAAATTAGCTGGGCATGGTGGCAGGCACCTGTAATCCCACCTACTTGGGAGGTTGAGGAAGGAGAATCATTCAAACCTAGGAGGTGGAGGTTGCAGTGAGCTGAGATTGCACTACTGCCTTCCAGCCTGAGTGACAGAGTGAGACTCTGTCTCAAAAAAAACCATTGAGAGGTTTCTCTACATCTTCATTTTTATTAAATCCAATTCAAAGCAATAATAGAATTATGGGAGAGAGAGGCCATATAGTGAAGTACAGGAGTTAAGAGCATTGGCTCTGGAACCAGACTTTCTCCCTTTAAACACAGCTTCCCTTTTTACTAGCCCTGACACCTTGGGCTACTTTACCTTCCATGTCTGTTTCCTCAAGAGTAACTATACTAACCTCACCTAGTAGTTTTAAGAATTACACATGACTGTGTACTTAATATATATAAATATATATATACTGGCAACCATGACTGGTAGCTAATATGCACTATGTATGTGTTGGTAATCATTATTTTTATTATCTGGAAGTTACAGAAACTCTCAGAGTAATTCAACTTGATTTGTAAATGTAAGAGAAATTAAGAACTAAGCCCAAGAAGTTAAATGGACTAAGGTAATCCTACTAGTTAGAGATGAGTTATGACTTCAACTTAAGTTTCCCAATGCTGTAGGCAACTAGTAATTATTGTTATCACCAGACAGTACTGTAAGTTGCCTTACTTAATATATTAAATGGAGAGAAAAGGCTCATATGCCAATAAATCCCTCCTGAAAAACAAAGGACATCACTTTTTGCACCAGTGGCCAGTCGAAATGAAGAAGTACTGTCCTGTTCTAGCTAATTTTGTGTTTTTAGTAGAGACGGAGTTTCACCATGTTGTCCAGGCTGGTTTCAAACTCCTGACCTCAGGTGATCTGCCCACCTCAGCCTCCCAAAGTGCTGGGGTTATAGGCATGAGCCACCACACCTGGCCAGTTCTATGGATTTTAATGCATGTATAGACTTGTGTAACCACCACCGCACTCAGGATAGAGAGAAGCTTCCTCAGTCTAAAACATTCCATTTTGCCGTTGCTTTGTTGTCACAGTCTTCCTAATATCTAACCCCTGGCAACCACGATCTGTTCTCTATCACTGTAGTTTAGTCTTTTCCAGAGTATTCATATAAACAGAATTATACAGTGTATGATTGAAACTGGCTTCTTTCACTCAACACAATGCCTTTGAGATTCATTCAACGTGTTGCGTGTTTCCATAATTTGCTCCCTTTCATTGCTAAGAAGCATCCCACTGTTTGAATGTACCACGGTTTGTTTCTAGTTGGTATACAGTGGTGTCACACTGTGACTTTCACACATTTCTCCAAGAAATTAAACGTGTAAAATACCTTTTTTTTTTTTTTAGCTTTGCATCATTTTTTTTTCCAAAGCCACTTGGAAGTATGGCATCACCATTAGTCTCCTGTCCCTCTATAAGAAAACTCTAAACAACACAGAGTCGTTCATATGTACAAGTTCAGGTCCAGATGCCCTTCATTATCTTTTTATGAGCTTATTTGCCATCTCTACATTGTCCTTGGTGAAGTGTCTGTTCATATCTTTTGCCCATTTTTTAATTGGGTTGTTTTCTTACTGTTATGTTTTGAGAGCTTTTTACATATTCAGGATAAAAGTCCTTTCACTGGATATGTGATTTGCAAGTGTTTTCTCCCAATCCGTACTTTGTCTTTTCATTCTATTAATAGTGCCTTTGGAAGAAGAAAAGTTTTTAATTTTGATGAAGTCTAATTTATATATTTTTTCTTATGCATAAGAAAAAATTGTGATTTCACAGTCATGTCTAAGAATTCTTTGCCTACCTATCCACAGGTCCTAAAGATTTTTTTCTTGTTCTTTCTTTTAGGGGTTTACAGTTCTAAGTTCCACATTTAGATCTAAGTCAATTTTGCGCTAATGTTTTTATAAGATATGAGGTTTAGGTTGATATTCCATTTTTTCCCACATGAATATCCAATTGATTCAGCATCATTTGTTGAAAAGAATACCCTTTCTTCACTAATTGCTTTGTACCTTTGTCAAAAACCAATTGGCCATTGCCAAGAGGTGGCAACAACCCAAATGTCTCTCAAGTGATAAAGAAAATGTGGTATACGTCCATAAACTGAAATATTTGGCCACAAAAAAATGACGTATACATACCAAAACACAGATTAATGCTAAAAACATTTTAAGTGGAAGCCACTCACAATGATGTGAAATGTACAGAATAGACAAATCTATAGATACAGAAAATAGTGGCTGCTTACAGATAGGGAAATGGGGGATTGGGAGGTGCTACCTAAAGAGTACAGGATTTCTATTTGAAGAAATAAAAATGTTTTAAGATGATGTTGCACGATTCTGAATATATTTAAAAAATTCACTATATACTTTAAATAGATGAGTTGTATGGTATTTGAATGATATCGCAATAATGCTGCTACCAAAAAACTGCCCATATTTTTATGGGTCTATCATTGAACTCTTTATTCTGTTTCACTGATCTACATGTTTGCTTGTTTCTCAGCTGATATTATACTGTCTTCATCACTGTGGTGTTGTCATAAGTCTTAAGACCTGTACTGTACTTCTTCTAACTTTATTCTTCTTTTAAAATTATTTTGGATATTGTAGTTTCCTTGCTTTTCCATAAACATAGTTTGTTGGATTTAAATCTAAAATTTTCATTTCAGGAAGCTATTATAAATCAGTTTTTTTAAGTTTCATTTCCAAATATTCACTGTTAAGTATATAGCAATACAATTGATTTGTGTGTGTGTGTGTGTGTGTGTGTGTGTGTGTGTGTGTGTGTGTTGACCTTATATTCTAGGGCCTTGCTAAACTCACTTATTGGTTCTAAGAATTTTTTTGTATGAATTTTTATGACTTTCTTCATAAACAATCTAAAACCAGTTTCATTTTTTCAATCTAAGTGCCTTTTCTTTCTTTCTCTGGCCTTAATACACTGGTTAAGACATCCAGTGTGGTGTTAAACAGAAGTGGTGAAAGTAGACATCCTTGCCTTGTCTCCAATTTTAGAGAAAAGACATTCAATTTTTCATCATTAAGCACAATGTTAGTTATAGAGTTTTTTGTAGACTCCCTTTATCAGTACTTTATTCTGCACAGAGTTGATGTGGCAGTGCCTTATTTCCAGTCAAAACATGAGAACTGCCACCAATTCTCTATCTCTTTTGACATAGAGAGT